ATTATTCGACTTTTGCTTCGGTTGAAAGGGATTAATTTAAATTATTATATTTATCTGAATATTAATGAAGAAATTATTGTATCAGTCTGCACATCTTTATTACAGTAGTATTGTGTTGAGATAGTTATTGGAAAAAACTACAAATCCCAAAGGATAAGCGATTGTATGAGCATCCTATCAACAATCACACCATAATGCAGCTTGATTAATGAATGAATGATTGCCTTCCTTGAATGTTGGAACTGCAATTGAGTTGACGCTAAGAATATTTATCTACATGTCTTTTATGCGTTGAAGTATTATGAAATGAAGGAAAAGTTCGCAAAGAATAACAGCTAAGGACCAGTCTTAAATTTCGAATAGTGTCTTTGAATTACTCCCTTTGAACATCTTTTGAACTATGTAGGAACCAACCAATGATCATGCTACATTTGTTGGAGTATGCTTGTGAAACCCATATCTAAGTGTATCTGACGACGATCTTGCCCTAATTGAGAGACAGATAGAGAGAGAGAGAGAGAGAGAGAGAGAGTCGTCTTGGAGTTTATTATTTTTGCATTAATAGTCCATAGTGGAAATCAAAATAATTCAAGAATAATTCATATCGCTCCAACGACAATTCACACGGAAGGAGATTATGGCAGCTCACAATTCGCTAGGTGAGAAGATTTTCCCAGCTTGTAGCCCCATATATGAATAGAGTTTGTGATAGTGACTTCATTTAAAAGTGACATGCATTTGGACGTTTTGCACGTTTTTATCAAATACACAGTGAAAGGATATTTTCAGTGCTTTCCAGTAGTTTCATCAACTGCTTTAAATAGTTGGCAGTCATTCGGATATGCATTTGGCAATATTCTGCAATGCCTGTCCTCGCCTCTCCCTCATACCTCACACACCCATTGTGCTTACCCAGCCAGTTTTATTCGCTTGATTGTGCACAGCGTACGCTGTTAATGTTTTTAGGTCAACGAACACAAAAAAAAAAAGAAGAGGAAAAGAACGTAGCATATCTATCCGGTTGCCAACTTATTTATCTGTTAAATACTGGCATGCGTCTTTCGTGCTCGCCAGCTTATGCTGCTCAGTCACGGCTCGGGCCCAACCGGTACGCCCTTGAAATTTATGCCTGAAACGCAGGCAATGTGGAAAGTGTTATTATGAAAGCAAGGATGTGTAGGGGAGAGCTCATGGTATCAGTGCGTACGGGCACGTAGCGTGTAATACGCTAATAATGTGCCGCCTTTACTCATGCAGATAAATACAAGTATATCCACAAAACTAAGACACAGGCACACAGTGCAACAAAGTGGGCCAATGTGCCAGGCATTGTCTTTGTTATGGCTCTCGCCTGCTACTACTACATAATAGGAGCAAATTATTACACTTGCCGGGGACTGGCCCAGTGTAAATTAGCCATGCCGTTGATAACTCACAAAACACAGAGATCGGCTACAGCAGATATTTGTGGCAGGGAATGAAAGGGACGTTGCCTTTTCATTTCTTTTTATGTCTTTGTCTTGAGCCTGCAGCTTTGCGCCTTGTCTCGTTGGCTGTCCATGGCCTAACTTAAGGCCCATTTACTTAACTGACAACGTTGTTTCAGTTTTCTGCCTGCCTAACTGCCTATCTGTTTGCCTGGAATTTTATCGATTTTGTCATAACCATTTTCAATTCGGCGTCTTATCTGCTTATCTGCATATACCCAATCTGCTTATTTGGTTAATGTCAACAATGTTAGCGTCGTCAGGGCCTGCTCTCCATAGCGATTTCAACTTGTCTGCGTTTAACGACAAAGCCACCAAAAGTCGTTAAAATCGCGCCATTCTGCGGTCAAAGGTGCGTATACGCGACCGCAATTAAAAGGCGTTGCCTTGAGTTGTTGCTTGAAAAAGTTATGCGAACACATTCCAGCACATGAGCATTCGCAGTTTTATTTCATAATTCCTTGTCAATTTTTCCAGCAGCTCCGTAGCTGCTTGGCTTTGGAAACTTTCGCGGATTATTGCAGTCATAAATTTTTACGATTTTCCATTCGTTGCAGCCTCAAAAGCAGCAAAAGCCGCATCAGCAGCAACAGTAGCACCAACATCGATAGCTATGGCAATTTTCGTGCCCGAGGCGACTTACTGGCAGCTGCGTGGAAAAACACATGCACATACAAGTATATTCTTAAATATAGCGAAACACGATTTTTATGCGTATTTAATAGCCTTGCAGATATGGTGCAGAAAATGATTGAAGTCGCACAGAACCAGCTTGTGGCATCTGCCGAGACGAGTTGAAGCAGAAATAAAAGTGTGACAGCACTTCTCTATTAATTTTATTTTAAAAGATACTGATTTACATGCTAATAGAGAAAGTTAAAGTCGAACAACATTTTGTCATATAAGAACGTACTTGAAATTTAAAGTTCCATAAAAGCTCGACAATCGAAGCCACTCAATAGCAACTGCAGAAAACTTTGCCTTTCTTACATGTAGATGTAGAGAACAGAAAGATATCGCTCTATACAGGGGAACTACTGGTACATATATGTCCTTCAAATACTTATGTGTGGTGGCGTTAATATGTTCCCTACAAACTATATTCAATATTTGATATCCATTTGCCTTATTATTCCTGTTTTTTTTATCCGATTCAAGATGCCCTTTGAAGCTGTTTAAAAACGACTTCAGAAAAGAAGGAGGTTCTCAATTCGTCCCGGCTGATACCGACTCTTTTTTTTTACTCTTCTTTTACTTTCCTTTTTTTTACTTTTTAGTGCATATTAATTTGTTTTGGAATAGTTTTATTTATTAAGTTTATTAAGTTGTTTTTTTGTTTTAATTTTTTTTTGTCTAACCTGCTATCATTGCTAAGTTAAATCAGAATTATATTTTGCTACAGAAATCATATTTGTTTAAATTTAAAAAATGCATGTACATTCCGAAAAATCTCTTTCTATCCCGTGGGTATAAGAATATTCCACAGTGTCACATGTTAGGGATGTAGCTAATAGAAATTGTTATGTGTTTTTGTAGCACACAAATTTGTCTTCAGTTGCGACGTTTTTTATGGCATACACACTCTGAAATTTGCCATTAAAAATATTGAATAAAACTTTGCGTCGAATACATGATGGCTGAGACAGTGAAGCTTATTGACAATGGCTGCGGGAAGACATATACACAGCCAGCTATCCATCAATCACGCATGACGGCAGCCAGATGGGCGGGTGAGCAACTGGATCCATAAACCACAACCACGAAAATTTATCAACAGACGCGTCAGGCAGCAGGACTTTGGTGGTGACGTCAGGTAATCTAATCCAATTACCCGACAATGGAAGCAACGAGCTGGCAGAGGCACTGGAACAGGCCATGGCACCGGCGCTTAATGTAAGCAAAGCTCGCCTCGGGGGGTTGGGGGACACTGTGGTGCTAATGGAGGCCAACGTCGAAGGGAAAAAAGCATATCACATGTCTACGAGAAAGTTAAATAACCAAAGGCAATCAGTAAAGTATCAATAACCAGCAGCCCTGGCAGTAAGTCGAGGGCGGCGTTTGTTTACTGTGCATACATCGGCCCGAGGCACATTTACATTATGCGTGTGTGCGTGTGTATGTGTGTGTCTATGCGTTTGATCATTAACCAATAGAGTGGGTTCGAGCGCAGGGCAAATCCTGGCAAAGCGCAAATTGAAATTCAGGCGCATCCAATGAATTTTTGGGGCTTTAGCTAGTTGCTTTCAGGACTATGTGGCAATAGCCTTCGAACTGGAATCCATATTTTGTCCACAATACCTTTTGCAACACAATGCCAAAGGGATGAATAAATAAGCATTGTATTGCCGAAATTATCATTTTTGTTGCTTCAATAAAATGGCCGGAGCAGGGCAGATCTAATGCGACTCTTCTCCCTCGTTATTGGACAACTCAATGGGCTTTTGTTACTAAGCGGGCTTAGGCTTCAAATTGAAAATGTGACACTATTGTTCATGGACTCTAGCGTAACAGTCTTTAAATGACTTATAAGGGAGGCTGCTGCTGGTTAATAATGAGGCTTAAATATTAATACAATCATAAAATAATACGAGACAAAATGGAAATATTCTTACAATGCTACATTTAATAGATGAACCTGAATGACTTCTGCAGTTTGGCTCAATATTTAAATGTAATATAAAATAAATTTGTGACTTCATTTCACACTTTTGTTATCTTTCGTTGTTCATTTACCATTTTTGCGTCGAAAAAAGCTACATACATTCAAGTAATTAACATTCAATTACAAATATAATGTAATTCGTTTTATTGCAAATATAAGTTACTCTTCAGCTTAACACTTTCAAAAGCTAACGCATAAAGCCTGTTGAAAGAATGAAAATCATCGGAACTTCCGCAGGTCCATGATTTGTGACCACTGAGGCGACCAAGTTAGCAATGCAAGTAGACTTGTGATTTGTTCATTGACTGTTTCGATGATTGTTTAATGAACTTGAGCTGGACATAGTTGGATGAGTTGAATGTCATAGCCCATCCAGATATTGGAATTGCTCATCAATATTTTTGAGCCCAGAATCGGACAATGTAATTTTGTTCACTTCCAACGAAAAATCACAGTTATAAAACGATCACGGAGACCTTTATAAGTAGATTCTGTGATAATATGTTTCTGGATAACATCCTCACAGAACTTTGGCGAACTTCTCTTACATTCATAGTAGATTTTCACATTTAAGGAATCTTCAGCGCAACATGCTGCTCACTACTTGTGCTTCGTCCACACCACCAGCTAAGGTTTTGTCCTGGAATTGTTGGATTGTTATCTTTGTTTCGTATTCTTTAAAAACCACATTGGATTGAAAATACAATTCCACTTCTGCAAGCAGTCGCCCTTCTGTTTGTTACATACATTTCGGGACCAGGATATATAATTTGCTTAAACTTTCTGTACTTGATTTATACTTCATTACACTGATGTTCGTTTCGGAAACACTTAAAAATGAATCGCAGCTCATTTTATTTCCTATTTTTAGTAATACTAATTGTTTCGCCATGCAAAGGCAGAAAACCCTTTGACTCCGACAGCAATTATGTTCATTGTGTCTACTGCTTCAATGTTTGCGTATTGCATCCCAATGCAACTGCCGGATACGTGTGTGCTCCCGAAGACGATGGTGCAATTAAAATAAATAAGGGAACTGAAGTCGCACCTGCACAGTCCACAGCGCCAAGTCTGAAGTTTTGTTTGCCCAACGAATTTGAAATAGGTGCGTCAATCAGGGGGCAAGTATCGCGTAGTTGGCTTTTTATGAACGCGTAGTTTTTTTTTGTCTCTCTATAGGAAATCTTAAGTTGGCTTGTTGTGTTTGGTCTCTAGCTACGGGATGTGAAGTTATAGAGGCTCCTGGAAAAGAACTCTATGGAGCAAGAGTAGAACTGAACTGTCGGAACTGCCAACGGTATTGTCCTTGCATTAATAAAGCTCCCAAAAACAATTGTAAATATATTGGCATATGGACAGTTTTGGTTTTTCTCCATTTTCAATTGCGCGTCAAATAATGGTTTGGCAGCGACAAAATAAAAATTTATGTATTCCAACTTTGAGAATAGAATCATTTGAATATTTTGTACAATCTGCTAGAAAGGATGGGCACCCAACTGTTTAAATCAAAATCCACTCAAAGGATAAAGGTTGCTTTGTTAGCAGGAAATGATGGGACCACCTTTTCGGTTTGATTCCATTTATTTATATTTATACAAGGTGTGTTCCAAAGTAAACAGGCCAAGAAGCTAAAACACTCGTTCGACATGCTTTTGGATAGTGCAAAAAGCTGTATTGAAGAAGAAGGATACTATTTTGAATAAAATAAATTGATTTTGCGAAAAAACTAATTAGTTCACAATTGTTCTGTTTTTTTTTTAAGTCCTGTTTACTTTGGAGCACACCTTGTATACATTTTATTAAATAACAATCTATTACAAGGCTATGGAATCAATCAAATGTGAATTTTATAGAAGAAAATTACCTTTTTTTTCTGTTCCCCTTCTTCTTCACTTATAAAGCAATAAACCTTTAAGTAGGTCTCTAACTCACTTTCAGTTTGATATCGACTCATGTAATATTTCGCGAAATTTTTTAAACATTTTTTTCACATATTCCATTACTGGTTCATTACGATTCTGATAGTTCTTCATCCAAATCTAAAACTGGTTACTGTTTTCATAGATAGTCGTGGCAGCATAATAAGTAATATTGTTCATATATTTTTTATGGCTCTATTGACTTTTCGAAAACAACAATATTCAACAGTACGAGGGAGAATTTTTAAATTCCCAGCACTTGTATTACTATATGTGTGACAATTACCAATGCACCTTTATGCTCAGCTTTTCAGAGGAAACTCAGACATTACTTGGTGGGTTTGTCGTCTCACGGTCATCGCTGTTGCGAATCAATTTTCCTGCATGCTTTCACGCAAGTATAAAATTGTAAACAAAATAATTCAAGGGCCTATTTGGTGGAATAAATGATAAATAATGAATGATGAAATGTCTGTTTATAACAATTTTATGTATATTTCAAAATATGTATTTTATGCATATCAAAACTGTATAATTCAATGCTTTTGGTGAAAAGGAAGCTGATCATATTATGGGGCTGCAAAGTTACTCACCAAGAATAAATATGTGAATAGACTTACGATACCGACTACCGTGACGAACAAAGTTGAAGAATGTTGCACGATAATGTGATTGTTTGATAACTACGATTGTGTTATAACTGCATGAAGATATGCCTGTTTTTATTTCAAGTATATCCAATTTGATTATTCGTATATACTTCATATATGACCTACAACTTTCGAGCTGCTTTGAAAATATTTGATTCGTGGAGTGGCCGTTCTACGTACAACAACATGGATTTGAAACGACAAGCAGGTTTACTTCTGATTGGATTTGCTGCTACAGTGTTGGCAAAAAATGCAACTACCTCGTATAATTCGAACCGTCAGTTACACTTATTAAATGGTAGATCCTCTGATATTACTGAGGTCCCATTTATTGTGAGCTTGAACTATTTTCTCAACGGAACACAGTACGTAAGAGAACCGGGCACGAGCACCGGGCACATCAGCTGGTGGTGCACTGGCAGTATTATTGGAGAAATCTGGGTGCTTACAGCGTCGTTCTGCGCTGAAAAAGCAATATCGGTAACAATCTATTATGGATCGACAAAACGAGTATCGCCCTTGTATTTCAGAGAAGTTCACGGCAATAATATATTCAGTAGAGATTCTATATCTTTGATACGGACCCCCAAGTTTCCTTTCTCTGCGGAAGTAAACAAGATTACGCTTCCAGATTTCGGAGACGATGACTTAGCTGGCAAACAAGCAAGATTATATGGCTGGAGCTCAATTATGTCTCCATCACTGAACATGATGCAGCAGGACTACAAGATCATAAAACAGGCCTCCTGCCGAGCCGTTCACGGCAAACAAATCAAAGATAACGATGTCTGCATCGCATCCACCGACGAATCTGCTTGCCTTGCAGATTATGGCGGACCCCTTGTCTTGCTGGACAGAAAGCTGCTCGTTGGCGTTGCATGGACAATTGGAAAAAATGATTGCAGGTCGCTAGTACCAATAATTTTCAAACGTATATCACACCTCATTAAGTGGATTCGAATAGTATTGAGCACCACCTAATGAACGGACTGGATGAATGCGCAAATAAGATCTGTAGATGTTTCTTTCTTGTAACTAAACATTCTTTTTTGCTGTCATTTTTGTTGCCAGTTTTAATTAATTAAATATATGTGTGTTTGCTTAGTGCATTGACAGGAGATTTTTGTTAAGTGCGGAAATCTAATTCCGAAATAAGGGTTGACATATAGTGTATGTACATAAAACATTTCATCAATTTTCTTGCAGTCTGCTAAACAAAATATGAAGGTCAAGTTCTTGAGATCTGACATTTGTGGACAACTTTATTTTGTCTATGTGGCTTACGTTGAAAGCCTACACCAATTGAATGGTGTTTCATAATGTAAAGCTTATAATTTAATTGAAATGCAAAGCTCATGTTTTGAGATAAATGTTGAAATTGTTTTAATTGTCAATGTCCAATATATCGTATATCCAGCCCAAGAACTTGTTAACTCGCGTAAAAACATGAGGAATGTTAATTGTGCAAGATGCTTTGCTATATGAGGATACACCAACCAAAATATTACTTTTAGGCAATATCAGGGGACCGCCAGAATCACCTCTACAAGTAGACTGAGCGGACTTGGATGACACACAAATTTCGCTTTCAAACAAATATTCCAAATAAAAAGCATTACAATACGTTTCGTTGACGACAGTTCCATCAACATATAGCAAGTCTTTGGTAAAATTTTCATCAATCGTTCTTCCCCAACCATACGCTCTGACCATCGAGTCAGTGATGTTAATGTGCTTGTAATCGGGTAGTTCCACTTTGTTGACCTTCTCTGAGAACTCAAGATGCGGTACGCGAATCAACATTATATCATTTTTGATTAAAATGTGATCCACAATGTGCTGCCGAAAGTATCCATTTGTTGCTAATTATGCTGCCTGCACATGCTTCATATGATGCTGTTGGAGGAATTTCAACGTACGAAAATCGTAGGCCAACAATGTATGGAACTGGAAAGGTGACTTTTGTGCCATTAGTGATTCGTTCGTCCACTTTGTTAGAATAATATGAAGCTGTGCAGTAATTTTCAGAAGCAATTAGTCCTGCAACTGCAACAATAAGCGTCAATTTATATCCTGCCATGTTGACGTAGATCTAGCAGCACCGTCGCTTTATACTTAAATTGTTTTAAAGCACTTATAGTTATATAAAGATGTATTTAGTACGATTGCTAACCAAATTCTATACGCATAATTGAAAATAATCTATTTTGTATACCCCGTGTCTAAAGCCTGCTAAAAGGATTACTAAGGCTTATGAAAATGTATTTAAGCATCATAGAATATAAATGTATTTCTCCTGATCAGCATGACCAGAAGAGTCAGTTAGTTTAGTTTTAAAGCTACAGCGAAAAATTTAATTTATATAGTCACGGCTTATACCGCTTGACTATTATGTGGGCGTGTTTGCAGAATTTCATCATGCAAAACTAATAAAGAATACATTGAACCAGAGTGTTGTAATAATTGCAATAATTCGATTTGTGATGAATAAAAGATGGTGCTAATTTTGAGCCAAAAAGCAAAGAAATAACAAAATCAGCATGAAACCAATTGAGCCGAGCTCAGCCAATCGCTTTTGTAAGCAATAACAAGCTCTGCTGAAAAAGCAACTCGAATAAAATCCATCGGCAACAACTTTTCACTTAGCTTTTCAGAAGGCAATGTCGTGTCCTGAGCATGTGGCACCTCCTTCGGCCACATCAGGAGGTAACAATTGAAGTTGGACTCTGGTGTGCTACAGATTTGGGTCAAGCTCTAGCCGCAGAGACTGCAAGTGAGCTGCAACTAGTCAGCAGCGTTGTCTTCTTCCCTCCTCCTGCTCCGCAGCGCTCGTTGAAACAAAAAGTCAACAGCTTAAATGCCATTTAGCATTTCATTGGGGGCGCTGGCGATTTGTAACCTTCATGTTAATGCGCGCCAAGTTATTTATGTAAATTACTTTTTGCACTACTTGCAACAGCAGCAGCAGCAGCAACAACAACAACAACAGCAATCTCAACAACAGGAAGAGGACCAGCAGCAGCAGCAGCAGCCCACTGCAACTTCTTATGCTTTGTCTCGAACTTTCATGGTTTATAATTAAGTCGGAATGTTCAGAGTGTCGTTGCCCATTCACTTGAGTGTAACTTTTGCAGGTTCCTTGCCCACATCAAGTAGCTGACTGTGGCTTACAATTTCGGTTTAACAAACTTTTATTTTATTTTTTGTTTTTGCTTTTTGGTGGCACACAAAAAAAGGAGAGAAAGAGAAGAAGGCAAAAACGCAAAAAAGCGGAAATGTTAACAACTACTTTGACATTTCCGTTGACTCCAATGCTGCCACATTTGTGTGAGTATCTTTGTGTGCATGCACGTGTGTGTGTGTGTGTGTGCGTGGTGTTTGTGTTGTTTGCAAGTTGGAATTACTTAAGTGCCAGTTTTTGCGCCAGTGTTGCGGCGCGACGAGGCGTGTGAATGCGGACAATGGTATGAAGCAAATGAAACGCCGAAACCGAGCGAAAGAAAGCTTAAAGCACGGTGTACTTATATACGTATATATGGACATTATATGTGGGAGTGTACGAGTATGAGTGTCGCCTGCCTCAAAGTTAGGCCATAAATTAATGTCATTGCATTAATGCGTGTTGAGGCCACAAACCAACAACTTTGCCCGCAGCATTTGCTTCAGCCCTCAAGTGGGAGTCTTAATAAAGAGCACCCTGTATGAGCTGCAATTACAGCAACAGCGAGCAACAAAAAAGCAACTACAATATGTTGCGGTGTCAAATGTAACAAAAGCTTACCCCAAGCGGCGAGCCATAAAGTAGAAATGCAAAAAATAGCATACTTTGCAGCGCACAGCTGAAATGCCTCGCATGTCACACACACACGCACATGCACACACTCCAATTCACACACACTTACATTCATCAAAACAAATAAAATGTAGTCGGATTTGCGCGCATTTTATACCCGCTGTACCCAGTATTAAAACTGTTTTCTTTTATTAAAACTTTTTAATAAGCAGAAAAAATTTAGATGAGGTGTTAAAACAGTTATTAAATATTAAATATAATTATTGTAATTATAGCTTATGAACTAAATTTTTTTTCTTTTTTTGAATCTTTTCCTACAGTCAGTATCGCAGTAGTAACTCATAGAATAAATAGCAACAATTGCTCATAAATAAAATATGAAACTTCATGTTACCTAACCGAGTTCTTAGTAGCATTTTAGGGTATGAGAAGGAACACACGAATTTCTAGTTGAATTTATTTTGCGCTCGCTGTTATTGCTGCACAAGCCCCACAAATGGAAACTTCTGCACACGACTTCAAGTGCTCATGCAAACA